GTAATATGTAGTACCTGAGAACATGAGAAAAAGTCTCGTAATTAAATATCACGACTGCATGGTCACAAGCGCGCTCCTCAATTCTTAATTGGCTGCAGTCTACAAATTGGTCGTCGTTGCTGGAGGCACACGTCACTCTATACTCGCTGTTTGCACACTCCTTAGGTATCACTCTATTCACACACTCGCTGCTCGCACACTCCGTAGAATATTACTTTGACGAAAGATACTTGCTGTCCCGAGAAGACGCGTGGACCGGAGATGGTTGCATACAAGTCGGTAGGAAACGAACGAGAAGACAAAAAGCTAGCTGCGTCGCGACTCGTGTAGAAGACTCGCTATCGACGGAGGCTGGCTCGAATAAGTAGATGGGAGAACGAAAGAGGATGAGCCCGAATTGCTCTGTGCTTATATACCCCGCATTATCTGGGTCACTCGAGGATTTTGTTATTCTCGCCCAACACCGTGGGTACTGTCGCGTCATTTGTTTGTCCCCGATACCCTACGGAATTTATAGCCCTCTTTTGCGGGTTACGTGCGGTCATCGTGCATCAAAGCGAGGCCTATACGTAACTCCCGGTTAGCTCGAATTTCGATAATACGCGTGAGCGCGTCCGCGGCAGCGCGACGTCTTACGAGTCGTGGTGATCATTATCGTAAAGGTGGCGAAGAACCGACAAAGACATCGACCCGTGTAGATGTGTTATCGCGATAGCATGACACTTATTTTCGGGTATCTCACGCTAATTTCGGATCGGCCGTGCGCGTAATATTTGCTGATTGACCCGATCGCGTATCAGTGGTGTGTACCTGTTACATTGATTATGTAACAGACCGTTCCATACATTTTCTCGAGGTCATAAATACATTCTTGGAATCATAGATAATTTGACAAAGTATTTATTTATTGTACTGGTAAAAAAGTGTACGTCTTAGTCGACAGTTAAGCAATTCGACGAGTTTAAGCGTAGATTCGGAGCGCCTGAACGGATAATTTCAGATAGGGGTACATCATTCATGGAACATATGTTTCAAAAATTTTGTTTAAATCATGGAATAAAGCGTTTTTTCAATTCCTCGTGACACTCAATGGCTAATGGCCTTAAAGAAAGAATAAACAAAACGTTATTACCGGTTTTGAAAATATCTGTTTTGAATGCTAGCGAGAAAGATTGGGATTTAAAATTAAAGTATATCGAGCGCGATGTAAATTTTACGGTCAGTACTGCAACTGGAAAAGCTCCATTTGAAGCGTTATACGGTTATTTGTCAATCTACAACGAAGTTTCATTTCGAGAACTTAAAAAACATTGTGAAACATATACTCTTCCGCAAGAAACACAAAAAGTCATTCGAGAAAAAATCGCAGCGGCGCAAACAAAATGCAAAGAATACTATGACAAAAATCGTTTCACAAATGTAAAGTATAAAATAGCTGATATTGTTTTTATGAAGTGACAGCCAATAGCGACTGGTGGGCCTAAAAAATTGCAATTTGTGTATTTTTTTCTGTAAAGAAAAAGGTAGACATCAAGTCTTCTGAAACCTTTGACATCACGTGGGTGAATTGACCTATCGTACTTGAGTTTTGGTACATTATGAATATCCGTCAGAATTTTCTTATTGTTGCGATGACGCGACCAGTGATAGATAATTGAAATGTTTCCTGCGTCCCAAACCAAACCCTGTGCATCCAATTTGATAAAGGGCTCAGGCGGCAACAGACCAGAAATCTTGCAACTCTCTATGTAGTTATCTTCACATTCGGTGATAGAGTTTATCATAGGACTAATGTGCTCTCTTATATAGGCAAAATAATTTCTTGTCAGTCCAATTATAAAATTGTCAATCCTCGGAATATCAGCTGTATTATACAGAACCTTATTACTAATCATGTGACTATACTGTGAGTTCATCTTCAAACTTATACGCAAGCATTTCCTTTCAAAAGCTCTTAATTTTTCCATAGTACTAGCGCTTTGGTTGAACCAAATCTGTGCTCCGCACGTAATTATCGGTCTGATCAGCAGCCTGACACCTTTACCTACTGAGCCATCAAGGCGTCTTGCAATTTGTGTATACCGACCCGCTTGTGATACTCGCAATAGGTCCGAATGATGTGTACCGAGTTAAAAAATTGGAATGATCCGAAGAATATGTCCTACGACACTACTGCGCATGTAAGCCAGCTAAAAATTTGGAAAGGTGGTAGTATGTATAAAGGCGATACTGATACAGAAACTAATGTAAAATTATCAGATACAGAGAGTGAAGTTGTTTATAACTCACTTATATCTGATGATGCAATTGGCGTCGGTGAGAATAAAGCAGATTCGGAAAATTCTGACTGTGACGAAAATATCAAAGAAAAATGTATGCGCATAAGAAAGAAATCGAAATATTTAAATGATTATATTTTGTACTTGCATAGCATAGTAATTTAAGTTCTTTTTTCTGAGAAATTCATATTATTATTTTATATTACACTTTAGATTATTTTAAAGATTTGTTATATACCTTTTTGCTATAGATAATAACTTTATTATTTAGAATGAATTGTTACTGTTGCTGACTGAGAGGAGGAACATGAAATAAGTGTATAATGCTCGAGTGAGGTTCACTCACAAGACTTTATTACAAATATAATAACTTAATACTATTTTAACAAGGCTTACAAGCTATGTCAGCAGATGATTGTTGATCTTGATGCTGGAGGTGGCTGTTGATCTGTTGAGTTAAACGGCTGCTGCTAGGCTGCTTCTAGGCTGCTGCTTGTCCGACGGTCACGGCTACCGGGATGATGTTCACGGCGGCTTGACTGGTGCAAGCTCGAATGCACCCTCACGAGCTTGACCGTTCATGTTTAAACAATAAGTCGCTTCGGCACTCGCGGCTGTATGACTACAGTTACAATTGAGCTAGTGCGCTATTAATAATTCTCTAATACTTTCCGCAAAATACAAGTATATTTTATTCGATGTTCAAAGTATCTCGGAGTCTTCATTATAATATTTCGATCGTTCGCGCACAGATCTTCGCCTTACTCGACTGTATAGAATGATCTGCCTCGAGTCCTAATTTTTACGCTGGTTATATACTAATTTAATCATGCATCTTTTCGGTGGGGGTACGTCTTGGTTCTTTTCCACAAGTCGCAAATCTACAAGCTATTTCGTCACTTGTTGACTTATTGTCCGCAGGTCAAAGATGTGTCCAATAATTATCTCGAGTCAGAGATGTGCCTAATAATTATCTCGGGTCATAGGTCAAACTCTCGGTGATACGGGAACTTGTGAGTGCGTGTGCGGCCTTGTTTTTTTTCCTCCGTGCCATTTTGAATTATGCCACCGATTTCATCTCCCGTGCGTGCGTTATGCCTTCTTTGTATTCGGCTTGCATACATACGCGAGTACACATACGCGGGATACATACACGTGCGAGCTTGATTTAATGCGTCGGCGCATGTTGGTCGCGCCCATCCACACGTACATGCAAACGACAGCTTTCGCCTTACTCTGTGTTCGGCTTACACACATGCATGAGTACACATACGCGAGATACATATAAGTTCGGGCTTGATCTAATGCGCCGGTGTGCGTTAGCCGCTTACACTCACACATACATTCACGCGACCATTGAGCCTGTGTGCGCTGTCGTATGCCTACCAGCCTCGCGTAGCATAGTGTACATCTTGGCTGTACCGCCTCTTCGCTCGCGAGATCAAGCGTTATACGTGTTCGTTTGCCGGTCTTATTTTCATCATTTTTAATTATTATATTTAAATTTTACAATACTTAATGCTAGGTTATTGGTATATAACAGATCGTATAAAAAATATACTTATGTTCATGTTAATCAAAATAAAAATAAACAAATATTTTTGGTGGACCAAGCGCATATAGAATGGCCGAATGTTATGGACACGCATAACACAACCGCCGACTTGCACGTATGTGTGTGTACGCGTCGCATGCGTTGACCACCAGTAGCGCCACTCGTGGTGGCCTCAGGTCCGGAAGCACACGCGTCCGGTAGATTGGCTCGAGCGAGCGACGAGCAAGACCGCAAGCGGCAGACGCTCTGAGATTAGGCAGCTAGCTGCGAATTACTTTTTTATATTATCACTATTATTCGTTCACGATTGTTAATTAAATTAATCAATAAGTAACTTCCCGAGTGAGTCTTGTTTTATTTCACCACCTGACATCCCATGGTTCTGTTTGAACCATAATAAAAGTTTTAACTTTCTCTGTCACAATACATGCAATTTGTACAAAAACTTATAAAAGATACATCAACGAATCGATACACATGTAGAATATAACATTAACTGATTTGGTGCATTTGGGCGGCAAATGATCAGTATCTTGTTGTAGAGTTTTGATAATGTATACAGTGTTAATACAGGAAAAAATCACAATGTTTGCAAAAACTGCAGGTTACTTACTTGTTCTACTGCTTGCGCCATGTGCGGTTTTATAAGGCAAACTAAAGTTGTTTTCCAGCTGTGACTGATTCCTCCACTTTGGGTTGCATAGAGTTTCTACTCTGCTTTTCCTACTTACAGCACGCCGCTCGCTCAGCCGATGTCATGTCGAGGGAACTGAACAGGCTTGATAATTCAGTACAATTTATAATAACACTGCTAAATGTCATGTTCTGCAAAATATCCACGTGCGCATAGTTTCAGCTACGTGTAAAGTGAGCGACACCAAATTTGCTGTAGGTTACCGAGGTTACGCTCGCTATCACATTTGACCTACTAAAGTGTTTTGTTAATAATTTTTTATCGAGTCTTTAATTGAAAAATTCTCTTAAAAGTCCTTTATGCACCCTGAATTTTACCTCTACGTAACTTTCCGTGTCATGTATGATAAAAATCACATGCGAAATTTTATGGAATAAATAAAAATGAATTTCATGTTTGATTAAGATTATTCACATTTATTTCTCTTTTAGATTATTTTATTTTTTGATATGAAATTTTTATTCTGAAATAGGAGTAACAGAATCCGATGTCACAATGAAAGATATTTTGGCTAGTATACCAGGATTTGAACCAAAATTGAATCGTCGACGTTCGATAAAAAAATTGTCGATTGCTGAACAACTGGAAGCAGGTCATATTGATTTAGAATCACCATCGAGTATACTCATTGGAACAAGTTTGAAAATTGTTTTAAACAGGCATACTTTTCAAGCTTTACCGCCATTATATCAAAAAAAATTGGTGCAGTTACTGCCCGCTGTAGATAGACAGGTAAGCTAGAAACAAATAAAGAAACAGATGTTCATACTATTTATTTATTTTTTCCACAAAAGATCTCGGAAATAAGGAAACCCAGAAAAACAAACGTCGGATTCGAATTCATAGACCCCAAAAACATAAAGTCTTTTAAGTACAGTCTGTGGAACTAAAATTTCGAATTTTTTGTGTGCCTGTGTAGTACACAAAATAATTATAAAGTGCTCTTGAAAAATTTTTGTGTCAAGAAAAAAATTTCTCCAAAATAATCAGTAGAAACCACTCGCTATGACCGCGCGAAGGCCAACGGGTTTAATCACAATTGGGATCTGAAGCAGCGCTCGTTTTTCGTCTAAGATGACGATTGGCGGCGTACGCTCGGCATTTAACATAGGCTCTTACGCACGAGACGAATTTCTCTCCTAGTCCATAAGAGGGCGTCTCGCTCACAAGAGCTATGTTAAATGCCGAGCGTACGCCGCCATCTTTGACGAAAAACGAGCGCTGCTTCAGATCCCAATAATGGTCCAATCTTAATTGGCAGCGGATAAAAAATATGAGCTTTTTTTGATTAAACAATTACAGCCAATTTATTAGCAAAGAGCTTTCTCATAAAATTTTATTTATTTGTATGAACGCTAGTATAAACTGAGGTAACCTTTATATTGATAAATGAATTATTGTAATAATTTGTTAGTAATTCAATGTAGTTTCCAAGTATGTAAACCAAATATTCCTACAACGTCTGGTTCGAAATCTCATTTTCGTGCCTATTGCATTGTTTGTTATGCAAGAAAGCAAAGAAATTCTTAATATTATTGTCAAATGAAAAATTTCGATAAAAAACAAATTTTAAACTTTTTTCTATTTCTCGTGTAGGCGACTGTAAGTGCCCAACCGCAACGAATCCCCCCCCCCCCCCCC